TTCGATCCCGACATGGCGATCATGCGATTCTTTTTTGAAAACTTCCTCTGGAAGACTTCCTACGAGTCGCATGCTTGAGTCGGTACTTATAACGACATAAACATTGTTGTCTGTCGACAATGTTATCCGTTGTTATCAGAATCGCGGTTATGATTTGCCGAAAACAATCGTCAGGCTTGAGCCGCGAAATAAAAAAGAGTGCAGAAGCGTCAACAAACTTTCGTGTATCCCGTTGTTTTTGGACATTATTTTGCCGCACAGTATTATCACTGTATTATCAAAGAATACATATTAAAGCTGTAACAAGGGATACCTTCGTAGCAACACACCATTTTCAGATAATTGAAGGAAAGCTCTGTGAATTCCCTAGCGATGCACCAGGAGATCTGGTCAAGTATGTCAAGGAGAAAATGTGGAACAAAAATCCTGAACAAAGAGAACAAATGGACAAGGTTCACATTTTGGCGTGCTTTGCTTGATAGCAGTCAGTACTCGACCTATGTAGAGCTCTCTGACTGTCGAATTAATCCGCCCCTTCCCACTTTGCAACATTTCCCACTTATTCTTCTGAACGGTGTTGCTAAACGACATTATTACCACTTCAGGGTCTGACTACCGGTCGGAGTGACAGGAAATAACAGTCTAACGATGTACAGGGGAGACCAGTCATAATTTGCTTTGCTGATTGCTCCTTCTCAAAATCCAAGCCAACTGCCTTCCCAACCTTTATTTACCCCACTGTTTGACGGACCGCATTTTCTTCCCGAGATGCGCTGGGTCTGCACATCACTTATACCTGAGTTCCAATCTTCAGATGGATTTGTCCGTTTATGAATTTGTCGAAGTATTCTCCCTACGTAAGCCCAACGTCATCAGGCTCCCTCGGAAAGCACCGCCTTTGTTCCTAACATCGCCTACTACTTCGAAGTCTCGAGTAGCCCGGTTTCAGATTTCAGCTAGCCGATTTACGAACTTTTTTCCTCTTCGGCCATTGAGCTTTTCGTACAAGGTGCCTGTTTCCTTAGTTTTCACCTTCGCTATGGCAGCCTTTACGGGCCACTTGTAACTTAAGTAAGCTGGTTTCTTGCCAGCTTTCTCGGCAGCTATCTTTTGTCCTGCCTACAAGCGGATGGTAGATGGCGGTATTGCTTATTGTTCCAAGACCACGCTACCTTGTCTTCTCGAAATCCACTTTGAGTCTTCCCCTGCATTTCCCTTGCTCATTGTGGGATGAAGTCCACAACGTTGCTCCATATCTGCTATATCCGTCCTCGGAGTCCGGGAGACCATCCTCCAGTATTTTCCTCATGAAAACTATTTCGAATCGATGCGTCTCCCCCATCCGGAGCCTATTCACGAAGTGCCAGAGAACAGAATCATTTAACGAAAGCGAGATGTGGTCTGATCCTTGCTATCAGATCAGCACGAATATTGTCTTCTGCCACTACAGTTCTCGTCAATGGACAACATCTGTAGGTATTAAAGGCACTGTTTGCGATGATTCGATGGGCGGGTGTGTCGATGACGTGTCCGCCTCTCATTCGATCAGACAGTCTGACGTGGCGTCGAATGAGAGGTGGACACGTCATTGACGTGCCGGCCCATTGAATCATCGCGAACAGTGCCTTCAAAGGTCTCGATCTCTAAGCAAGTTACTCAATTGTAGAAAGGTCGTGTGCCAGTGTACCCAACAAACGGAAGGGTTACTTTTCAAGCGGATGACTGTTCCAGATGAGCGGCAACAAATGGAGATTGAGCGGAAAGCGTTTCTGTCAAGTGCCCTGTTTTGTAGTGCCAGACTATTTAGACTATTGAGGGGCACCTCACCTCGAAAATTTGATAGTTAGAAATGATTCAACCGTCTTTAAAAGGAGTATGGAGGGCTATGCGCGTATCCCGACTTTGTAATGGTATGAAGAACGCTCGAGCTCCAACGTTTACATTAGCAATTTTTCATAGACTTGAAACGTCATTTCAGAAATGATAGGTGAGCCTTAGAGAATGACGATTAGTGAATGGAAAACTGATGAAGGAATCGATGCAACAAACTTCTCAAAATTTCACTCTACTAATGTATTTTAGCTATTTGCTACACATAGAATTTTAAGGCGACCTTTTAGATATGCACCTGGTTTGAAAACTATGCGGGCTTGAATGCAGTTTCCTTCGTGGAAGAAACTACTATTGAAGGACAGGTGAATTAGTTGAATTTAAGTTGATGTGCTATGTATGTGGTTGTACCTGTTACAATTCACATGGCACATCGAGAACGATGCTCAGTCTTCTATGGCGAAGCGGAATCCTTTAGAGTTTCTTACAGTTACTGCCAAATAATACAGTACTTTTGCAAATTTTATAATTTTCCTACCTGACGATAGGCAGTATTCGCTCCTGGTGACGATTCGAATGTTATATACATAATTCTAGAAGCAACCGTCACGAAAAACGAAAACAACTGGAGCACCTTCCCCAACCAAAGCAGATAAAAAGAAGCATCAAGTTTTTAAGAAGTTGAGGAAACAGAACAAAAGTTACCAAGGAGCCAAAAAAGATGGAGACTCCAGCCAGGAGCGCGCTGAAAAATAGGTCAGTTGGAGAGAAAGAGAGTCACATTCCTTGAAATGAAATCCCGGACAGTACAATCAGTGGACAGTAAAGGTATCCTCAGTACAGTCTGTAGTCCAGTCGAATATCCTTTCTAATGGGACAACAATTTGGAGACCCTTCCAAAAGCGAGAAGCAGCTTATACTAGATTGGTTCACCACTCGATGAACTTAAGGTTTGGTACAAGTGGCACCCCAAAGACGAAGGAAAATCACTGCCAAGCAAAGACTTAGTTCAGAAGCGAAAGAGACCGTATCACATTTATTAGCATCTGCTCATGTGTATAAGAAGAATTATGTGACGAAGTTGCTGAATTACATTTAGCGGGTGACTTCAGCATTGGGTGTCAAAGTTACGCCAATCCCAATTCCCGTTAGGAATATCGCTGCGCTCATCAGCATCAGTAGGAAGTGCAAGGTTTGCAGAAACAGCCTTAGTATTTTGTACGACAAGGAATTCCACAAAACCGTGTAGTGAATCAAAGTTATACCTTCGGTTACTTCAAAAAAAAAAAGAAAGAGAAAGAATCGAAATGTAAGGCAGGAAAAACAAAATTTGAAAAATAGTGAGTAGGCGACTATTCTTTACGATGTTCTGGAAGTTTTGTAATGAGTTTCAATTCGACGGTAACAGTGAACAGTATGTTAAGATGAGATCTCGACAGCTTCCCGGTGAAAAACCCACAATAGAAGCTTCAATTGAATGGTATCAATACAATTGAAAAAGACGGGAAAACATTTCAATTAACGATACATTAAAGGCACGGTTCGCGATGACTTATTGGGCGGGTGTGTCAATGATGTGTCCGCCTCTCATTCGATGTCACGTCAGGCAGCCTGACGTCGCGT